TACCTCACAGACACCTACAATCTAAACCACTGAGATGCTCAGACACCAGTAAAGGATTACAGCTGAAGAGCTGACACAGAAATAATCTCTTGCCTACTCAGAACCAAAGCCAAAGAGCCCCATCCAAGTAACACCCTACAGCTCACTTATGGAAAAAGTCTTTCTCTACAATGATAAGCCATAAAATCAAAAGTGGCAATTAATATACCTGAAGCACAGTCATCAACAATGGATAGAAGGAGTATGAAAAAGCAGGAAGGCATGACACCCACAAAAGAACACAAAAATTCCCCCAGAGCAGGCCATGGTGGCACATACCTATAATCCCAGCTACTCAAGAAGCTGAGTCAAGAAAATTAATTGTGAATTCAAGGTCAATCCAGTGAAACCCCATTTCAAAAAAAAAAAAAGAAAAACTTGTATCTGTTTTGAACACATATGGACTTTTTTTCTCACTAATATCACTGGACAATACAATATAACAACTATTTATACAGAATTTACATTGTAATTGGTACTATACATCATCTAGAAAAGATTTAAAGTCTATGTTCTGGGTAATTACTATGCCATTTTACATAAAGAACTTGAGCTTCCACTGATTTCGGTACCCAAAGGGTGAGCATCCCCATGGATGCTATGAGACAAATATAGTTAGTATTATGACTTCAAAACAATTCAGGAATGGAGTTTTCCTGTTTTGTTACTGGCACACTATGCATTATTGATCCATGTCACATCAAGAGATGGTAGATTCCAGGCTGGTGAAAGAGAAAATGTTGTATCAATTGGATTTTATTTTTAATAAATACTTCTATATTTCAGATTTAAGTAATTTTTTTCTCCTTTTCTTAATCAAAACAAAGAATAGAATAGGGTTTCTCAACTTCATTCAGCATTAATGACTTTTTGGACCAACTAGTTTTTGGTTTTAATTCTTCACTGTGGGATGTTTAGCAAGATCCCTGGCATCTATACAACAGATACTAGAAGCACCTTCCCCAGCAGCACACACATGCAGCAACCAAAAGTGTCTCCAGAACTGCAACCATCCCTAAGGCTGGCAAAAATCTCACCTGGTTAAAACCACTGAGTAGAGACTTTTTCTCAAAACTCAATGAGACAGAGCCAGACTGGGAAGCTTATTGACACTTCAGACTTAAAGAAACAACTATGCCAATGGGAGGCCATCACTGCTAGGTATCCTGACAAAAGCCAGGGGTGCCAAATTGCCCCAAACTAAGACTCCAAGGTAGTCACTGTCTCTGGAAATTCCTCTTCCTGGAAAGAAAGTAAAAATACATGAATATACAAACGCATAGGTAAATAGAAAAAAGGGGGACAGCCATCCCAAAGCCTCATCTAAACCAGCAGTGTCCCATAGAGCTTTCTGAAGTCATGGGCATGTTCTACCCTGGTCTGTCCAATTCCTGTGGCCAGTAACCACATTGGTAGTACTTAAAATGTGGTTAGTACAACTAAGTAACCGAATTTTTTATTTTATTTAATTTTAACTAAGTTTAAGTTGCTACATGTGGCTAGTGGCTATCATACTGTACAACAAAGATCTAGACCTTGCTAATATCTTCTTGTTGTTAGGTGAGTTACTCAGCTTTCCATTAGTATAACAAAGTACCTGAGATAATCAGCTTATCAAAAGGAAAGGTTTATTTTGGGCTTATGATTTCAGTGGCTTGGACCTGTGGCAAGATAATGTTTCACGATGAAACGTGTGGTAGAGCCCCTCAAATACAACATGCTTAAACTGGTTCCACCAATAACAAGGTCTTTACATCTCTGTGCCTCAGTTTCTTTCTCAATAAAAGGAGATACTAAGTGTGATAAAGATAATGGTAACAGTAACAATAAGTGCTCTTCTAATCTTCCCCATATCCCTATGAGGCTATCTTTCCAATTTTATAAGTAAGCAGACATAGGTGTGGAGAATTTAAGTAACTAGCCAAGGTTTACATGGTTAGTAAATAACTAACCAGACTGGAGCCCAGGCAATCAGCTCCAGGGCCCTTATTCTTGTTTGTTTGTTAATTTAACTGTTTTTGAGACAGGGTTTCACTACACAGCCCAGGCTCATCTCAAACTCTCAATCCTCCTGGCTCAGCCTACCAAATGCTGGGATTATAGGTATGAGCCAACAAGCCAAGGCAAGGTCCTTGCTTTTAACCTGACTCTCAGGATAACCCCCTTGGAAATGCCACAGCATTTTGATGAGTTAATTTAGGTAAAATATTTCTATCTTTTTCCCATTTCCAGATTCAAAATTTTAGGACTATCTTTTCACACTTCTGCCCTTTTCACGCACTGAATCTAATGAGGTCTTCCTCCCTACCCTTCCTTAAATGTTTTTAATGCATTTGAGCCACCTCAGCAGCCCTTCCTTCACCTACTCACACTGGGCCAATCAACAAAAACACCTTAAGAAGTGCTCATGTATGAGATATGCTTCAAAACTACTTAACTCATTTAACCCTCCCTCCCAATAGCCCCAGCTGGTTTGCAGGACTTCCATACTTGGCTCTAACAGTATCTGCATTTCTTCAGCATACCAGTCCTCCTGGACTACCAATTTTTATCCTGTGATGGGAACACTGAAGGTGTATGGCTTCTTCACACTTGCAGGTGATTTAAACATGTAAGAGGTGAGTGTTCTGTTAAGGAGAGCAAAGACCTACATGGCTTAGAGAGTTAAAACAGGTCCCATCTGGGGAGTGGTACAAGTGGGAGGAAAGGAAGAATGAGGGTGAATATGGTGGATGTATTTTGTATCCATATATGAAGACAGAAAAATGAAACCTGTTGAAATTGTTCTAAGAAGAGGAAAAGGGGGAACGATGGAGGGGGTGAATCTAACTAAGACATATTGTAAACACATATGTAAACATCACAATGTGTCCCGCTGTACAACTATTATATGCTAATAGATTTTTTAAAAAATTAAAACCACTAGAAAGGAGAAAAAAAAATCTCCGACAGACTCATGTTAACTGTGTAGCCAAACATTTACAACCACATAACCCAGCCCCACCCTCCCTATTCAACCTTATCACCACTCCCCAACAAAAACTAACCACAGCAGTCAAACAAGTCTCTCCTCTGGAGCAAATACTTCTTACTCCCAGCACTTACTCAACACAGCTCTCATCTGCCTAAGAAATGTGAGCAACTCTATAAACACTCCCCAAACATGCAAGCCAAACAAATCTCTCCTCTAACTTGTAATAAACTGACTTATGCCATTCATTATGGCCCATAAAGACATATTCATCACCTAGGCATGTTGACACATCAGCTAGGCATGGTGGCACATACCTGTAATCCCAGACCTTGGGAGGCCAGTTTGGTCTACATAACTAATTTCAGGCCAGCCTGGGCTATGTAGGAAGATCCAGTCTCAACAACAATAAAAAAGACTGGCCATAGTGATATATGTATTTAATCCCAGCAACTCAGGAGGTAAAAGCAGGAGGAGGGAGGTCTAAGGCCAGCTGGGCAAAAGCACAAGACCCTATCTGAAAAATAAACTAAAAGCAAAAGGCCTGGGGCCTAGCTCAAGGAGTATGGCACTCACAGAGTGAGCTTGCCTGAGTTGGATTCCCAATACAGCTTAAAAAAAAAAAAAAAAAAAAGACACTCATCATCAAGGGACTTGCAACCCCAATCAGGCTGTGAGCAGCCAGAAGGCAGTTATCTCCCTGTCCAGTACAGGTACAGTACACAGAACACACACTAATTTAGCAAACGGAATACAATATGAATGAGTTACAGACAGTGAAATGTGTAATGAGTGTGGACAGTATAAACACCCCAATTTAGTTGACCTTATTTCCCGAGCCATGAAACACCCCAAAGTAACAGGAGTAACTCTGAGTCTGGGTTTCAAGGCAGTGGTTTCATTACACTTGCAAATTCACTATCTTCTTTGCTCATAAAAACAATCCTGTGACTGCCCATAAGTCAGCTGGGACTCAAAGTAGAGTGACTTTCCTCAAGATCACAAGGCTCTAGATGGCAAGGTAGGGACTGGAGCCCAGGCCAGGAGCCCAGTGCTGTTTCAACATCCTAATCCACCTTTTACCTCCTTTCCTCCTCACCTTTTCCGAAAGAGTTCACTCCAAAGAAAAAGGAAGGCGGCAAGAATTCTTGGTCATAAAAACAGACTTGGTAAATTAATGGCTTCTCAAAGAACATTTGTCTGAAACAGCTTTTTTTTTTCCTTTTGACTCACCAAGGGCAATGATTTACAAGCCTGCATTCTCCAACATTCCATGGGGCTGCGAAATAAAAATGTCCATCTGAACTCAAAACCAGTTGGCCCTCCCCCATCCCGGAGTTTACCATCTTCGCTCTTTCTTACCAAGGAATAATTAGGGAAGGAAACAGCCTTCTGAGGACACAGCACTTGGCCGACAAAGCCAACGTTAGAAACCCTTAAGTCTTCCCACACCTGTCACCAGGAATCCAGCCTTTAACAACTGATTTTGTCACAGACATTCCAATTTAAAAACGGAGACACAAAGAACCTCAGTTCGGGCCAGTCTCCAGTCATGAATGGCCACATTGTTTGGGTACTCTCCCTGCTCACTGAAACTCAGACAAGGAAAGACGAGATGGACCCAAACCTGGGCCAAGCCCAGGGACAGACCCAAGAAAAAGCGAGGACCAAGCAGAGGCGCCGGCCTCCTCCTCCTCCGCAGCCCCGGGCCACCCGGGGGGGGGAACAGAGGCGCCCCAGGGAGGGGCTGCGGGAGCCGAGGCGCGGGGACAGGGGCGTCATCACCGCAGACGTGGATGGCACCGCCCGCAGCGCAGGGCAGGGCCGAGACCCCCACCGTGCACGGCGCCTGTCGTGGGGCGTCGCGGCCTGGGTATCCGCCCCGCGCTCTGGGAAGATGCAGAGGAGGCAGGCGGGAGGCAGCGGGTCCCGACCGCCGCCGCATCTCGCCTTCTCGCCCTCTCGCCCGCCCACCCCCACAGCCACTCACCCAGTTCTGCGCGTTGTTGCTCAGCTTGACTTTCTTGCACAGGCTCCCGGGAATCTCCATAGCCACGGAGCGCGCGAGGATGCCGGGTGTCCGCGCGCCCCGAGGGTAGCAGGAGGAAAGCGGGCCGACGGGGTGGGGCGGGGCCAAGCAGGGTGGAGGGGCGGGGCCTGCTCGCTGGCGTCGCGGGCGCGCGCTGACGTGCGCACGCGCTCGTGCTCGCGGGCCCTGACTGCGGGGCGCGTCGGCCGTGCCTTGGAAGTGAGTCCGGGGCAGAGGTATTGTGGGGTTGGGCCCAGCGCCTTGAGTGAACTCGTGGAAGGAGGTAGGGGCGGAGCTTCAGCGTCCAACCCTCGTGAGCGCGCACGACGCTCCCCCTCGATCCTGAGGAAGAGGGCGGGGCCTGAGACGTAGTCGTGGAACCTCGCGGGCCACTGCTGGAGCGCCACCCATGCTGAGCATGCGCACTTGGCTGGGATGGGTTCAGCCCACCCGCTGTCTGCGGGAGGACGTGGAAGCCTGTACGGGCTTTCTTAGTTGAGTTGCTCGGGGGAAGTCGCTGACGTGGGCTTCTGCTTGAGCAGCTTTTCCTTGATAAGCCCAGCCAATCTAGGCCCATGGCAGCCTGACCTTGGTGGCAAGGTTTTCCAGTCTTGCAGAGAGAAGTACTGGGCAGGTCATTCTTCACATGTTGCTCTTGGATTGAAAATTGTTCTCAATGCACAATTTTTCTTAAAGTTAATACCCAGTTCTTTGACATCAATGATTAATTTCTCAGTCAGGATTAGTGATTAATTGTAAGGTGCCTCCGTCCCCACTTCATGTCAGGAAATTTCTATGCAACTGGGGAAATCCTTATAGGACTGAAGTCCCCGATCTCTGAAGGATGTGTTCCAGTGTACCTAATTATTACAAGGTCAATTAATAGGAAGATGTGGGGGTGCAGGGTTTTTTCCAGAAATTACCTCCTACTCCCATCCATGCCCATAACCCTAAGCTCACTTTTCCCCAGCTTGTACCTGGCACCAAGAGAATTGTTTGCAGATCTACCCTTCCGTAAACCCCCCCCCCCCCACACACACACACTCCCAATCACGGAGACCTAAGGCTGCTGCTTTTTAGCTAGCAAATCGGCCTTATTTATTTCCACTCCTGGTACTGTCTCAAATTAGGCCCTTCCCAAATCCATCTACATGATCACTAAGCCCTTTCACTTGACATCCCCCACCTGTGCAACAGCACTCTGCTCCCTTACCCCTTCCATTCTTAATACTATTGTCACGGTGGGAGAAATGAACCAAGCCTTGTATGCACATATGAATAATAAAAGAAAAATGAAAAAAAAACTATTGTCACGGTGGTACTTCTAAAATACAAAACTGGTCTTGTTACTCTTACAATCTGAAGTGTCAGTGGTTCCTGTTACCTTTTCCTAGAGAATTTTTAATCTGAGGTCTGTATACAGAACTGAATTTCAATATAATTCTAAAGTCTGCCAATAATGGAAGTGAGTTTAAAAGAGGATCCCAAGCTTCAGAAGAGAAAACCGTGTCACATGTGGAATCAGCCATTTCTCCAAGAGTCCTCCTTCCCTTAAAAGGGAGACAGGGCTTAGGTATCCTATCAAACTTAGGAGTGCTCATTGCTTTTCAGTTGGTCCTTATTTCTAAACTCAGTGGAAAGTCTATTTTAAGATGAAATACATGTTTGCATTAACTTTGTCAAATCAAATGATTTTATGACATAAGTCATGCAAACAAGTCTGAAATATCTTGTCAAGCCAGAAATAGGAAAACTAGCAAAAACTGCCAGGAATATGTCAAAAGGACTTAGGAACCAACTGAAAGAAGCTTTTCTATGTCAAAGATGATACAATACTTGGGAAGCTGAGGCAAGAGGACTGCAAGTTCAAGGTCATCCTGTGCTATATAGTGAGATACTAACTAAAAAAAAGTGGCACAATTAGAATACTGATGGGATAAATGCAAGATATTGAAACATATGAAATATGTTTAAACCTAAGTGTTTATAAAGACAATGATTTAATAACTCATCATCATCCTTGGAAGATGTTGTTTAACCAACTCATTTTTGAAAACTGATAAAGAAGACTAAACATTTACCCTCCTTTCCCTGCGCAAGCTGTATGTGTCAGGTGTTGTCAATCAGTCTAAACTAAGAAGCTGCAAAAGTAAAAGGAACTTAGGAATTTTGGTTTAGGAAACACAAATTCAGACAGCTCTGAATCAATGTTCTGAGAAGCCAGGGAAAGTGAAAGCTTATTTGGGCTATTGAAAGTTGAGAAGAAACAGTACCATGTGATAATAAAAGACAGAGAAAAGAATGCACACACAGAATTAAATGTCCATAAAACAGAGTCTGATAACTTCTTGATATGTATCTTAGACATCGTACATTATAGAATTTTCACGTCATTCTGGTCACGCCAGATATCTGCAAAGAGTGGAGGTAACAGAAGTTCATGTTGCAGACAGTAGCTGGAGACATGCATAAGTCTTGCTTTTCAGTGGGCCCTCAAATCCATTTTGAAAAAACTCTTTCAATATTGCATTCAGCATAATTTTCTCATGATTTTCACACAGATAACCAAAAAGTTGGTGAGAGGAAGATTTTCTTTGTAGAAGCACATTATCCCAACCTTAATTTTTCCCCACCACTCAGAATATACTTCTGAGTATTTTGACCAATGCCCAGATTTTCCACTTTGCTGGGAACATAAATGCTCTGCTGGCATTGCCCACTCTGCTCCTTTCAGGTGTGTTTTCCCTGGCTAGCATTAGTTTCCTTACTTGCCTTTGCTCGGTAGATTTTCTGGAACTCTCTGTTCTTTCTTTCTCTCTCTTTCACCCTCTCCTCCCTCTCCCCTCCCCTTCTTTTTTCTTCCCTCCTTCCCTTTCCCACCTGGCAGTAAGCCAGGGTTATTATAGGGCTTACCCACTTCATTTGTTTTTCCATCTCTCAGAGATCACTCCTTGATATCCAAGGTGTGAAACCCATCATTTCATGGATTATTTTGTTGGTTTTTTAGTTGTCTCTGAGAGAGTACATCAAATCTCTGCTACTTTATCTGCCTACTTTTTTTAATTTTGGAAGTTTCTTTTTATGTGATTACTTTTATAGCAATAACATCCTCATTTTGTATTTTATATTCCACCATTTAAATATATATTCCTAAATAGCATAATTTAGTCTTGTCAATTTAAGAAGTATGCTATATCTTTAAATCTAGTAATATGTAAATCACTGCTCCATCCCCTTCATTTCCTTACAGCCTCATAGGGTACCCTATCTAGGTAAATGTGGAAACAGTGGAGTGAGATTAAAGTCAAAATGAACTGTACATAATCCTTGTACTCCTGTTGATAAAGTCATTCACCATAGGGGTGCAGGTTAACAGTTCTCATGCTGCTACACATGTATAATGGGATTGAATGATTAAATAAATGGATAGCAGATGGTGAGAGTCAAGTTGCTCACAGTTGTGGGAATTTCCAGATAAGCAAGGTGAGAGGAAGCTCACATGATTCATGCTGTAGTACACTGAAGCTGAAGACATTAGTAAGAACTCATGTTCACTTTAATGTAGATACAGATGATTACATATACAAATATTTATACACTGTACAGGTAAACAATTAGATATGCATGTATATTTCTTTATACTGTCAGCTCAGGAAGCTCAAAAAAAATGACACTCCAGTAGCAACAATGTACACCTAACACCCAGATCTTGATGTTTCTGACAGTACAACACTTACAAACAGCAAAATGGTTTCCAATACCATTTCCAATAAAAAGAATCAAGGTTCCTTGGACATGTGGCTGATTCAGAAGTAGGAAAAAAAGTATACCAGATGAGCTGGGGTATATTGTATTATCATAAAATATAGAAGCACAAAACAAACAAAAAGCCACCATATCATATGGACTATCAAAGGAGCACAGAAACCAAGTGAAAGAGATCCCAGTAGCCAAGGTTAGAATAATTTGAACAATAAAATAAAGTAGCATTGGATTATCACAAATAGAAAATAAGTCTAACTGATATAAATAAGTGCTTGAATAAACTAAGGGAGGAGAGGCAAATGTCCCTTGCAGAAGAATTCTAAGGAATTTTTACTATAAAGGAGCAGGACTATAACTCCATGCTTCTTCAATATGGGCTATGAATATTTTCTTCCAAGTAGTGCATTATAAAAACCGAAAAAGAAAAGTAACTTTATTGAGAAGAAAGCTGACAAATACTCCTTCAGCAAGGTGATCGGTCAAGTTCAATGTCATGTAATTCATTATATTGATAGTACGTAGCCTTGATACAATATGATGAAAATGATACTTCTCCTCTGTGGTCTTTCTCCCAAAAGTACAGAAAAGTCAGTTAAAAAAAAATATATATATATATATAAATTCCAATAGTGTAATATCCTATGAAATCCCTAACCATCTTCAAATTTTAAAAAAAGGAAAGGCAGAGAAATTATCACAGCCAAGAGGAGCCTAAGAAAATACAACAACTAAATGTAATGCTGTGTCCTGAATAGGATCCTGGAACAAAATAAGATGTTAGGTAAAGGCTAGGGAAATCTTAATAAACAATGACTTTAGCTAAAAGCAATGTACCAACATTAGTTCCTTAAGTGTAACAAATGTACTATACCTAAGACATTAATAAAGGGAAAACTGTGAGTTATCTGGAAACTTTGTATTATATGCTTAATTTTTCTGAAAAAGAAAATCCTGAAACCTAAAGTTTACGTTTCTTATTCTAAATTCCCAAATACACTGCATCCACTGAGCCTTTTCAAAGAATAACAGGCAAGTTCTGTTTACCTCTGGCATTTCAACTTAGTTTCTTCTCCGGAATGCTAAATGCAGCCCTACCTAGTGATTGGCTTGGTGTTGTGATACCAATCTTCTATTTCTTCTCACTTCTGTGCACTTATAATGAACCATCTGAGTGCTGTTCCCTGTCCCTCCTCCAAATAAATACCCTAGACAGTGGCTTTGACTCCACTATAGGTATAGACTGGGGACATGAATATTTCTGCTGACTTTCTATTACTCTCTAGAACTGCTCTGTTTTAGCAAGTAGCTAAAATTAGCACAACAGTTCCATTTGATTGGTGTCCATGTGCCCTCCCCTGTCACCTTCCTTGCAAAATTAATTTCCTTGTTATTCCTTTTGCTAGTCAATGC